TTGAATTTTTCCAGATCTCTTACCAGATTTGAATTCTAGATGCTATAGTTGGGTTTACACAAGTTTCAAAATTCAGAATTTGAATTTGAATTTAGAAATGTGTATGAATTCAGAAGCAAAACAGACAATAAGTTTCAGTAATGATGTTTGAAGTTAGATCCTTTGGTGCAGTGTTAGTCTGGAAGTTTTGCAATCCAGATGTGAATTCTAGCCTATTAGTTGAAATCTTTTCCATTTTCCATTTTATCTTTAAAAGCAACTCCTTTTGGTTCCTGGGTGGTTTTTTTTTCCATAGTTTTAAAAGTTTTAATTGGCATAATATTAAAATCTTAGAATACTTTTCTATTTATCTTTTTATGATCTCTCTCCCAGAGTCTCATTGGGGAAATAGGTGGTGAATAAATTTAATAAATAAAATAAAAACAAAAGCAATTATAATGAACACAAATGTAGGCAGAATGTAGGAATGCTTTCATTTTACAGTCTGACAGAGCAGTCTGACTGAGCGTGTTAAGCAGAATAATATTACGTTACATATTTTTGCCAGCAAAAGTATACCAAATATTAGCTGAGATATATGAAATTGGAAATTTAAGGAAATATAACATGGAATATAAATTTGAAGGAATAAACAGATGGTAAGAATTTGACAAGCAAGGAGTCTTGCACAGATTAAAACTATTTCGATTTATTCCCTTTTCTAAGAACTGTAGCTTTTTGAGATGAAAGTTATGAGCCTCCAACAAAATATCCAGCACCTTCTTTAAATTTTAATTTGTAGGTAAAGTTGGGAAAGAGATTAATTTTGTGGAATACGTTCATGATCTCAGACTGCCTGATCTGTAATGTGCAATCGAGCACCGCCTGTACTATTATAAATAGTTTATTATATATATTTATTATAAATAAAATGGAGCTAAAAATAAGAAATTTGCATGCTATCTTAAAAAAAGGAAGAAATTGCCTTCTCAGAAATGGTACTTGGATGCTGTGCCATTTGTAAATGGTTTTATATTTTATGAGTGTTTCTTCTGTAAGTATGGGAAAATTGTTCATTTTCAAACAAAATAAGTTGCAATTCAAGGACATAAAACAGCTTTGTAAAAATAATAAAGTCCTGATTATTTAACCTTATTTTTGTGCATATGTAATTGGTAATCAAAATACAGTTGTATCCTCCACTTTCCTTGTCTCTTAATAAACAATTCTGTATTCCTTTTATAGACTGGCTAAATTGTAGTCTGTTCCTTCCTAAATTTCTTCATGTGAAAATAACAGCTAGAGAAAGTCTAATGAAATTTCTTCCCAAAAAAATACTGTTTCCTATTCTGTAATAAAGGCTGATGTGCTTGAGGGTTGTTCTTTTGTTTTAATTTTTGTAAACTATTTCTCTTGAAAACATATTGCTTTTCTCTATAGGGGTCAAAAAGAGAGATGGGCAAACATTTGATTTCTTAAGATCTGCACTAAATATTTTCATTCCAACCAATTTTCAATATTTAAGATAGTTTGAATAGATAATGAATTGAATAGATGCTGTCTATTGTGTTAATAGATCTTTATGTTTCTGTGGGCAAACATCCTTCAAACTGTGTTCACCTATCGGATTTCCCACGCACTAATTAAATCCAAGAAAAATTATTGTGACACATTTTCTCCCATTAGGGAACAATAGCAGCACTCTCCAACAGCTCCAATAACAATAAATTACAAATCTCCACCACAAGTAAGTCAAAAAAATGTTCTTCAATATCCTGGGATTAGGTAGGAGAATTGAAGACTTTTACAAAAGATTGTTTTACAAAGCAGATTACAATATACTATTAATACATTATGCAAAATTTATTAGGGAACATAGAAAAGAATATCCCCTTCTATTTGGCCTTGAAGCATTCTCTCATTGACAAATGATTTTTCTTTTCAACCATAGTGAATCTGTTGTTCTACAACTTAGTAGCACTAATGTTTGCAATTAAATATCACCCAAGCTTTATCTTTTTAGGAGATGCCTTGTCTGTTCTGTGTCCTGGTTCTAAGACAGGTAGAAAAATCAATGGCTATTAAATTAACATCCATCATCTGTCCTCTGGGATCTGCCTGGTTAGACTAGGATGCAGCTGCGCAGTCATTCTTCATGAGATAAGGCAGCCAAACAATGCTTCATCCTTAAGCTCTCAAGTGCTATACACAAAGTCAGAAGCAGGTTGTCCAGTTATCAACACATCCCTATATCTTTCCAGAATTCACGTGCCAACTGAGGAAAGGGACTTATTTTTCTATTGCAAGTAAAATCAACCCACATTGAATTGCAAAATTGCTGCAAGAAAATGAATTTATGTTGATAAACTGACAGCAATCTAGCAACACACATGAAAGCTTAGATTCTGATTTTTTTTAAACTCAGAATTCCAGGTGGAAGAAACTTTGGAGTTCATCTTTCAAAAAGACGAGTGAAGATTAATAAAATAAGGTATTGTCATAAAGCAAAACACAGCCATTTCAAAGACAAATGCACTAATATACTGTCCCAAAATAAATGGAAAGGGCTTAGCAAGATTATGCCTTGTCATTTGGTAACCATGAGGGGGGAGGGGGAAGAGAGACAGGGTCCCTTCACAAAGTAATCCCGTACGTTCCAGAACATTCCAATAGAGTTCTGTGTGGCTCATAACCCATGTATATGAATAACAAAAACCAAGATGAAGAACTTTGTCCACTTTGTTCTCTATATAGTTGAGGATCCTCATTTTCCAGTCCCTGCAATCACACTGAAAGCCCTCAGGAGGCTTATCATTACTGACACTCAGTCAGTAATGTTCGCATTCCCACTACAGTTCAGGAACCTCAATTCATAGTTAGCTCAACACATACCTAAAAGAATCCAGTAACTAAATCATTGTTTTAAAAATGATCTTGGGTCTTCCATTGATTTCCATTTCCCAGAGTGTGTCAAAAGCTATGATGTCAGAGAAATGTTCGTGTGAGTATGACTGCCAAAGAAAAGCCACTCCCCACTCACCCATAGAATCTTCTGGACCCTGCCCCCCTCCTCCTGTTTGATTGTCAAGGATTCTGGGAAGGGTTCTGGGTCAGACATCCAATTTCTGTAATAATTCTGAATAGAGCAGTAAAGTCTCACTATTGCTTCTTGTGAATGTCGACTGCACCTTATAATGCATCAATCTTTTAGAGAAAGAATATTAATAATTATTCTGTTGGAATCAAATAACGAGTTAATTGACTTACAAAGAGGAGTGCTAACTACTAATCCTTTCTCAACACAAATATATTGATAAACTCACTCAGCATCCTATTTAATGGTCCCTTTCTTTGAGCATAGCAGCTCCGCTTCCATTATACATTGAATTACAACCTAGGGAACCACATTTCAGCCTATTGTGTTCTATGAACCCATCATTGTTTTATAGTTCAATATCTTGGGCAAACCCAGGCAATTCAGCTAATTAATAAATTAGGGCTATCCATAGGTAAACATCCTTCCTATAGGTTTACCATTTGTATAACTAGAGTATTAACAGTACCTGGCATTATTATTTCAGTAGACCATGGATTTCATATGATGGACTGCTTCCTTATCTGGTGATTTAGCTAATTCCTTTGCAACTGCTCCTTTGACTCTTTATTAGCATTATGTTTGCATAAATCTACATATCTCTTTCTTTAAATCTCTGGTTTCTGACTCTACAGCCAAATAAAGTTAGTGCACAGATGCTCACAGCAGGGAGAGGGAGGAAACCAAAGTAAAGAAAGTCTTACTGCTTCTCTGTGTTGTGAGCTTGACACTTATCTCTCACTCTACAAATCTTGTTATGTCCTTTGAATAATAAATAAACCAAGCCTTCACCTTAGAGTACAGGGAGCTACTCCCTTCTTTCTCTCAGCATAGCATTAGGGTAAAATGTCAATTCAGAGATGATGGGGAAAATATTTGGCATGTTTAATAAGCAACACATGTCACACTGCTTATCAATCTGGGTTACTGATTTATGGTGAAGTCAAACAACTCTGGAAACTGGGTAATGCACTGCCATTAAACCCTAGCACTATCGAAGCATTAGAGAAACAGAATCTTGAGTTCAAATTCCCAACGCAGAGGGAGTTGGTGAGATTATGCATATGTAGCAACAGAATTGAGATTTGAGAGCCAGTTTGGTATAATGGTTGAGATACCAGCCATGAAACCAGGAAGCTATGAATTCTAGGCCTCCTTTAGGCAAGAAGGTCAGCTAGGGGTCAGTCATTGTTTCTCTCAGCCTGATCCACTTCACTATTGTTGTGGGTAGGAGTAGTAGATAGGTTTGCCACCTTGGGACAGATAGATGATAGCTAGCTAGCTAGCTAGCTAGCTAGCTAGATATTAAAATTTAGTAATAATAACAACAGACTTTGCTTTTATATTTATAATTAGAGGCTACTGGATCATTGTCAATCATCATCACTGCTATAATTCAGAATAAAAACAGTATTTCATATGCAAGTGTATACATACAGATGCATGTATAGAAAAAGGGAATATGAAAGTTTCCAACTCAAACAGGAACAACGAGACTGGGTGAACTTACATTGCATCAGACAATCATGGATGTTTTCAACCTACCAGTTTCATGTTGCCATAAACCTGGTAATATGGTTAAAGTACAGCCATCCCTAGATGGATATACTCCAACAACATTCAGACCACTAATTTAAACCTGACTGTGTAATTTTCAGTATTCAGTTTGGTATGAATTTTTGTACATTGCCTACTTGGCTTGTTTCTCTACATACAAAACTTCAATGATAAAATAACATTTCATACAAGCAACAAGATATTTTAAAGATGACTCTCCCACCAAGAGGTGAAGTTCTCAATTTTTGCATATTTGGGAATCACATGAACAATCTATTATGGTATACTGGATATGCAATTACAACAGTCTGCATTAAGAGCCTTCACTTTCTAAAGATTAGAAGCTGAAAATGACGATGTGTTAAGAGTTACTATTATCAACATGAATTTTGATCTCTTTTAATGTTTTCTGATTACTGGATGATGTTGATATTGCAGTTTCATTGGATTGATCACATTGATATCACCAGGCCACCCTACAAAAGAAAAGTCATAAGTAAATGTGCAATTTTGTGGCATACCATGTTTCAGCCTAATGGCATACATGGAATTTGATTAACAGGAGGAAGTATGACATACATAATGTCTGTCAAGAACAATAACTTCCTCCTCTTAGAAATGTGTTATATCTGCAACACCAAGATGACTACTTCTGTGTCAATGGAGAATGGATGTGTACGTCTGTGCTTACCTCAGAAAGGGCAATATTGAGTTTTGTCCATCTGATGTTTAGAACAGAAGGCAATATAATCCCTCTGCGAAGCATTCCTAAAAGATAAAATAACCAATTTTCAGAATTAACTGGGTATTACTTTGCTAACCAGTTCGAAATATGCTAAAATTATATTGAAATCCTCCAGATGATTGGGGATGTTAAACCAAATTAGGATGAGCCATATTATTTTCTTCATCACTGAAGTGATGAAGAAAATTCATGCTTTAGTCACTGAAGCAGTAGGTGTGAGCTTAAATGGACTCCAGAGGATGGTAGAGGACAGGAAGGCCTGGAGGAATGTTGTCCATGGGGTCGCGATGGGTCGGACATGACTTTGCAACTAACAACAACAAATATTATTTTCTTAAACTGAAACTTATATAAATCTCCTGGTTTTATTTTTATTTATTCATATTGGAAAGTCATACAGTATAAAATGAGTAGTCATGATTAATCTTGTAGAGCATGTCAGGAGGCATATGGGAAAAGTATATGAGGTGGAAAATAAATCTTTCTTCTAATCTATAAATAGATTGATTTTTTTTAGTCCATTTTCTACAGTGTATTAAATAAATTGCCCAATATTGCCTCTCTGACCAGTACCACTACAGTCATGTTAGAAGCACCAAAGTGCTTCTGGGTTGAAATGTTTGAACAGTGACATCACCTGGGGGGATGCCCAGATGGGGGCTCCTTTTAATGTCACCTGGAGCTTCCTGTTCTATTCCAACAATTAAATACTATATCACACCTGACTGGATGAGCTACTCTGGTCCATGGCAAAAAGCCATATGTACAAAACAGTGGTGGGGTTCATTTTTTTTTTACTACTGGTTCTGTGGGTTTGGCTTGGTGGGCGTGGCATGGCATGGCATGGCATGGCATGGCATGGCATGGCATGGCTTGGTGGGCATGGCTTGGTGGGCGTGCAGGGGAAGGATACTATAAAATCTCCATTCCCACCCCACTCCAGGGGAAGGTTACTGCAAAATCCTAATTTCCTCCCGATCAGCTGGAACTTGGGAGGCAGAGAATAAATGGGGGTGGGGCCAGTCAGAGGTGGCATTTACCGGTTCTCTGAACTACTCCAAATCTCCACTATCGGTTCTCCAGAACTGGTCAGAACCTGCTGAATACCACCTCTGGTGCAAAAGCCCTTTTATCAGCTGCACTGAAGGCTACATTATGACTTCTCCAAATTGGTCCTTTGACAAGAAGTACTGGTGTTTTTTAAGGGGGAGGGGCATGTCTAGAAAGGATTCCTTTGATAGTCTGTTCAGCCCTATAGAAAACCTAATCACCATCCTAATAACCCAAGACAAAATAAAGCAACTGGAACAGGCTCAGAAATGTGACTATATGTTAATCTAATTAGCAACAGTTGGGGGCTTTTTTCTGAACATATTTTCTCTGTGATATAAACATTAATGAGAGCTTTCTCAAATGAAGTCCTATTTTTCTGTAGACTGTCCTTACCATTCATAACTGGTAGAAACCTGTTTGTGTAAACATCATTGATGTAGTCATAGAGCTTCTGCATCTGGAATGTATGATAGTTTCTAATTAGAATCAGAAAGGGAAAGGAATCCCATATCTAAGAAAAACTATATAAGTTTTTCAGTAGGTGGTAGCCTCTTTTGTGTGCTACTGTAAGCTTGAATATCTTCCAAGCAACCTTGGAGGATATAAGAAAACTGACAGGGTTGCATCTATTAATATTTGGATGGCCAACAAGTAGGACATCCCAAGGTTGTAGACTACACTGAGACGGGAAAAGATGGTGGCAAACCATTTCTATATTACTGCTCAGAAAACAATATACCTGTGATGACCAGGAGTCAATTCATACATTGATTACTGTTTATATAATGTCTAAATGCATTCAGTTTTAGTTCTTGCATTAAAACCATAATGCTGTTTCTGAACCAGATAGAAATAAATACATACACAATCATGGGAATAAGAAGGCATATAAATATAGAGATGAAGAGTTCTTCATCTAGGGCAATCTGCCGCATCCTAATGTCCTGCAATTGTGTTGGAACCCCAATGTTCTGTCAACGTAGTATTGACAGCCCCAAAATAATTTAGTGGCACCAAGGTAGTGAGGAGAGTATTAGTAACTGAGTATAAAAGTTGCAGTCAGTGTACCCAGGTCCTTTTCATCAGATTCTCAATTTCCATGATCTACGTGTTACTATGGTATTAGGATGCCATGCAGGGTTCATTATACCATGAATAAAGTTTAATGTAAAACCATTTGATTTGCCTGTGACATAACTCAAGGAAACTTACATTGGTAGGGCCAACAGAAGAAGATGCTTGAAGAATGTCAAAACTGTAAAGAAAAAAATCAGGTGCATCTAATTAGAGGGAGGAAGCATGCTATGAATTGAGTGAAAGTGGAAAAGAGAAGTAGCTTGGTAGCTGCACCAATTTTCCAGACTGCCAAACTATTTCAGACACGAAATTGACAGGTCTTTTATTTTGAATCCATCTGCTAAATATAGGGGCATTGTTCTCCAGAATTTCTGAAACACAATTCCCAGCAGCCTTATCAGTCAATTCAGCAACATCTGGAGGACAACCAGATGTTTTATTACTTCCTTAAATATATAGAGAAAGAGTGTGTTTTTCCTATCCAGTTAGAGGGGTTTTTTTAATTTAAGTTTTATTTATTTATTTAAGTTTTTAAACAGCCAAATAGCTGACACAACCTGGGAAATTACAATAATACACCAAAATATACAATTTGAATAGGAACACATAGACATAAAATGTAATCATTATATAAAACTAAGCAGCTGCAAGGCCATCATTGCAAAACTAAAACAATATGAATTAAAATGCAATTGAAATACAATTAAAAGCCAGTTAGAAATCATGGGGAAAAAGAAAAGTCTTCACATGGTACCAAAATGCTGCTAGTGTGGTTGAATCTCTTGGGGAGATGCTCTCATTAAATACTCTTAAACTCCAGGTAGGTACACGCTGGAGAAGCTGCTACTTAGCCTGGACCTAAACCATTTTATGCCTGTAAAGGCCAAACACATAATTATGAATTGAGTCTGGAAATAGACTACCAATTGATTAGATAGTAAAGAAGTTTACAGACCATTCTAGATTGGGTTTTTTTCTATCCTGCTTTCCAGACTGTATCACATATATACTCCCACGTGTTTAAAAAAATAAATGGGGAAAGAAGATGAAAAGAACTCCAACCCAGCCAAATTTGCATTACTTATGTGTGACAATATTGTGGCCTTGTGCCATCTTCTTAATTGGAAATGATACTCTAACTTTCCTTTCCAGCTCCAGTGTGGAAGACCATAAGAAAAACCGTGATAATCAGATTAAAATCCTATCTAGTCTGAGAATTCTGTCCACAGTGACTAATCAAGTGATCCATTCATACAGACTCAAATCCATTCTTTTCCCCAGCTATTTCTGTGAAGAGATACTACTGAAGAAATTGAAGGTAATATATGTAATATATTTTTAATATTTGGATTTTGTAACCCTCCCAGAGCCTAATGGAGTGGGTAGCCATAACAAATTTGATATATTAAATGAATATATAAATTTGAAAACTTTATCTTTCACAAATGTTTTAGTCTGTGTCTAAAGTTCTAAAAAAAGATTAAAGCAATCTGGTTCCCTTATGTTTGGATCAACTCCCATCAGACATAAAGAATTAATTCAGCTTATAAGCAGTCTCCCTATTTTAGACCTTTATTATTTCCTACATTATTAAGTTCTACAACTGCTTACCCATGTAGTTTCCTATTTCTGACTAATTTACTGCCTTCTTGCAGCTCTACTCCAACAACTCCCCTGACATCTCTGTACTATAAAACTCTCATTGTTATGACCTTTAACTGTTGAAAAGGTGCTTCATAGGGAAACACTTTTTGAACCGAGGTACCTCAAATGAGCTAATTTACAGAATGAGTCCAAAATCCAGGACCCATGACTCCTGAGGGAATAAAATTTGGGTGAGTTGTGGCTGCTTCAGAACTACTGGCTGCTGCTGCACAGCTAGGCTATTGCTATGGTCACTTAGCCATCATTTTCAACATTCCATGAGTTTTCTAGCCAGTTTCTCCATCCCTTATTCTCTTCCTCACCCAGCAGCAGCCTGTTGTGGCCCACCAATGGAGCTGGCAGCAGATTCAGACAGTGAGGAGGTTGAGGAGGAACATGGGCCAGTCCTGGAGTCTGGGGAAGGCTCTGATGAGGGCTCTGCGTCGGAGGCAGAGAGGGGGCCAGGGCTGTATGCCAGTTATCAGTTGCCTTCAGAGTCAGACATCAGTGAGGCAGACGGAAAGCTACAGCCTATTCCCAATGTGCGCATGCACAGAGTTGCCGGACGAAGGGAACAGCTAAAGAACAAGGGTCAACTTGAGAGTAAGGCCACAGCAGTGGTGGATTTCTCCCGGTTCGGCCCAGTTCGGCCAAGCCGGTAGCAGTGATGATATGACGTCACCGAACCGGTTCTCTTTGTTCGGAGGCTGCCCGCCACCGTGTTATTCTTACCTTTTATTTGGCCCCGCCCCCAATCTATTTGCTGCCTCCCAAGCCCCAGCTGATCGGCTAGAAGGAAAAAAACTGTTTAAACTCTTGCCGCGGGGCTTCAAAGGGCCGCCCTACAGCTGAGCAGTGTTAAAAGGCAGTGTGGTGGTAGACCAGTGCCTCCAAAAACAAATGAGTAGACCTGTGCCTCCAAAAATAAATGGGTAGACTAGTGCCTCCAAAAACAAATGGGTAGACCAGTACAGCTCTGCAAGCAGTTAAAAGCCTGATAGACCAGTACCTCTGCTAAATCCTAAAGAATTGTCACATGACCATCAAACCACACCCACAAAATAAGCCACGCCCACAGAACCGGTAGTAAAAAAAATTAGAACCCACCCCTGGGCCACAGGGGGACAATGAATGGCCCCTCCCAGAGGGAATAAAAGAGGAACAAAAGGGGAGTGGAGTTTGCACGAGACAATTAGTTCACTTAATTGGTTCGTGACTCTCAGAGATTTCTTGCCAAGTTTTGAAGATATCGGCCTGGCAGTTCTCCAAGCCAGATAAGGTTTGTGACTGTAAATTCTCCCTTGAAAGACTTTGCTGTATGTGAATGAGAGGAATTCACATTAACTTAATAAAAAGGGTTTTTTGTCAGGACAAGGAGTCTGCTTCATGCTCTTGGGAAGCCTAGGTCAGAACACAGCCATTTACCTGCCTGCTGAAAAGGGGAGGGAGGGATGGAGAAAAAAAGGGAGGAAGGAACCCCCATGCATCATTCCTGATCCATGCTAACCTCCTACCCATGTGGTCCAGCAACCTATGCTGTCCTGCCACACATCTTCCCTGATTCATACAGCACCACTTGTGCATCTCCACACACCTTCTGTGACCCATGTGGCACCTTTTGCACGGACCTTTCCCAATCCACAAGGCCTATCTTCATTCCCTGAACTGCACAGAATGTCCTGCACAACCCCATGCACCCTCCCCGATTCATACCATCTTCTATGTACCATTCCCGACCAGCATGGCACCTCTGATGCACCCCACATATTCTTTATCTGCACCCCTGTGTACCTTCTTACTCCCTCCCCCACTCAGCAGCAGTCATTTATCTGGCCTTGAACTTGCTGCATCCTGCTGGTTTCCCCACTGACTTTCTCCCTCCAGGCTTCCCACAAGCCAAGTAAATGGGGAAGTCAGCAAGAATTTGAGGGAGGGAGGGAGGGAGGGAGGGAGGGAGGGAGGGAAGGAAGGAAGGAAGGAAGGAAGGAAGGAAGGAAGGAAGGAAGGATGCTCCATGTCAGCTTTCCATAATGGGGAAGCCAGCAGAAAGTCAGAAGTTGCTCCATTTCCCACTGCTTTTTTGCCATCTGTGGCCCTTCTGTTTCTCTGATTGGGTAAGAAAATGTCTCTGAAATGATGACCCAGCAGGCCATGGATTATTTCAGTGTAAATAACACTATTGATCCTCTGGCAGCTATTATAACCCTGGTTTGGAAAAAAGTTCTGGCAAGTTTTAGCCCAACCAATCCACATGTGCAGATTGTCAAAAATGGGACGTGATTATGTCCGGGTGAGTGGGTGGAGCCTCTGGCTGCCGCCCCACTACTGGTTTGCCTGAATCGGATAGAACCGGCTGAATACCACCACTGCCAGATGTCTGTTAAGGAATATACATAAATTCTTCCATTCTCCATCATTCAGTCAGAACTGAAAAAAATTCTTGGATAAGAACCTTCTTGGATGAGAAGCAAAGCATTTTCAAGGGAAAAAAACAAGAAAGTAGTTTTGAAAAGCACCTTTGGGACAAGGAAGAAGAGGAGTTAAAGAGGAAATCTCCCTTATATTCCCAAATAAGATTAAAGAATGCTTAAATTAACTCCCATTGATTCTAAAAAGCGAGCTATATTTTCTAGTTCTAACATTTACCATTGCCAGGGATTTACAATATCTTATTATTCCAACACATATTTCTTGATATTAAAAGAAGGGAAAACTAGAAGAAATATCCATACCTGTTTTGTGACAATATAATGAATAATTTGCCATTAGAAGCTGAAAGCTTTGCTTGGAAGGTTATGCTCTACAATGAAAAAAGGGGAAATCATTTCACAGTTTGAAATGCTGTATTTTTAATGATAGCATTAATTTGGTGGTGCATCTTATAATAAGATATTACCATGAAAGAAAATCTACAATTTGCTGCCACCATTAATCTATGTTTCAGTGAAAAATTCAGTTTATAAGATGACCAAATCAATGTTTAGGCACATGAAATCAGATAATATTTGTTTGTTTGTTTGTTTATTTATTTGTTTGTTTTTTTATCCCAGTTTTATTATTTTTGTAAATAACTCAAGACAGCATACGCACATAATACTCCTTTGTCCCAACTGGGTGATTATTTTCCCCACAATAACCCTGTAAAGTGGGTTGGGCTGAGAGAGTGACTGGCCAAAAGTCACCCAGCCAGCTTTCCTGCCTAAGGTAGGACTAGAACTCACAGTCTCCTAGTTTTTAGACCAGCACCTTAGCCACTATACCAAACTGCCTCAATATCACATAGAGCCAGTTCTTCTCGTCAAAAAAATCTAGCCAATGAGTTATAGGTAGTCATCTCAATAAGAAATTCCTTAAAATTCTTGCATCCAACAAAAACTCTCATTAACAGGATAAGGAAAATCCTCTTGCAGCTTCCCTAAAACTATTTTAGAGCTTTGGAGTGTTTTTCAAACTAACAGGGAAAAATAGCACAGGGTCCTGTAAGGAAGAATAAAAATTTCCAAAAACTCTCTTCATAAGAATAGAAGCCACTGGTGAAGAGCCTCTCTGATCCATTCTGTGTCACTCAGTGGCCAAATAATTGCATTTGGGAAGCACCCTGCTACCATGGATAGTAGGGGACATTGTGGTCCTCTCCCTCTTCCAGGAATTGGTATGTAAGACTGTGTAAGTAGTAAGCATACATCGAGATTGATAACCAGTTTTATCTAAAGGTAAAGGTAAAGGTTCCCCTCGCATATATGTGCTAGTCATTCCTGACTCTAGGGGGCGGTGCTCATCTCTGTTTCAAAGCCGAAGAGCCAGCGCTGTCCGAAGACGTCTCCATGGTCATGTGGCCAGCATGACTAAACACCAAAGGTGCACGGAAAACTGTTACCTTCCCACCAAAGGTGGTCCCTATTTTTCTACTTGCAATTTTTACATGCTTTCAAACTGCTAGGTTGGCAGAAGCTGGGACAAGTAACGGGAGTTCACCCCATTATGCGGCACTAGGGATTCGAACCGCTGAACTGCCAACCTTTTGATCGACAAACTCAGTGTCTTAGCCACTCAGACACCACCACATCCCTTGTTTTATCTAGTTTTCCATAATTATTGAGTGCCTTAAAAAAGTGTTCACCATTACCCTATCTGATGGCATCATAGTTTAACTATCGGTTTAATTTTCTCACTCTTATTTCACTTATTGAAATTCTTGTATCAGTAGATACAAGAATTTCAGTAGTCAGGCTTTGGATCAGTAGACAGATATCTATTGGCTGTAACCCCAAATATATTATATACTCATACATATTAATATATTATGAGTATATATCAGGGTGAAATCTAAAATGTGTTACTATCAATTCTGTGGGCGTGGCTTGGTGGGGAAGGTAATGTGACTGGGTGGGCATTGTCAACTTTTTTTTTTTTACTTTTAAAAGCATTTTTTCTACAACCTTAAGAAAAAAATGCTTTTAGAAGCCTCTGACGATCAGGGAAGTCAGCTGGGATCGCCAGAGGCTTTTAAAGGCATTTTTTTTCCTACAACCTCTTCGGCTGAAGAGGTTGCAGGAAAAAATGCTTTGAAAAGCCTCTGACGATCCCAGCTGAGCCATGCGATCATCAGAGGCTTTTTTTTTTTACTTTTAAAAGCATTTTTTCGGCTAAAGAAGTTGTAGAAAAAAATGCTTTTAAAAGTTAAAAAAAACAGCCTCTGATAATTGCGTGGCTCAGCTGGGCATTGGGGGGGGGGCGTGCAGGGATTTTTGCTACCGGTTGTCCGAACCACCCGCCGACATCACTACCGGATCGGGTGATCCGGTCCGAACCGGGAGCATTTCACCCCTGGTATATATACACCCGTGTATCAAAGATGTACGTTGGAAAATTAATTAAGGTGAACTAAATTCATTCAAAAGTCAACACTAACATAGGTACATAAACAGTCTAGTGGCTAATATTGTTTGAAGTAGGATCATTCAAGTCAAAATCCCCAGGAAAATAGTAAACCTTAGTACTAAATAATTGCAGTGGAGCCAGTAATGAACTTAGGATCAAAGTAATGTGGTGAGGGCTTCACAAGTAATTGGGCCATTGGTAGAGATTGTGACTGGTAGAAATCAAGTTATGTACTTACAACTTCCAAGTGTAGAACAGACTGACCACGTACAAGCACCTCAGTGAAAAGACCTTGTTCCACTTTAATGTTCTGATTATCCATAGAAACAAGCGGGAATGTTGAGCCTCTTGTCTGTATTACCACAGGCTGTGGAGCTGGAAAACACTTAGATATCTGGAAACAAAACATGAGTTCGCTTATATAAAGGATTTCTACTTCACCAGGATAATAAATCTATTGTATTTCTTGCAACTAGTGAGATACAAGTTTTATTTTGTGTTTCTAGTGTCCTTTATTACATAAGCATTTGTGTGATGTAAATAAATAAACAAATTCTGACCTACTACTTTGTATTTTATAGATTTGTAATTTTTAGAGAGATTATATAAAAAGATTTTTATATAGACTTGTTCATAGTTAAGAAAGAATTACAATGGATTTAGAATCAAATTACAGTCATTTTGGCTATGGTAAACCAATCATATTTTGCAATGGTGAATTGCTTGCGTTATCATAATTGTACACCATGTCATTCTACCAATGTTTTGAAGGCTTTGTAATGGCTGTATGAATTTGTCTTTGAGAATTAATTTCTTTATTTCACCTCTCTACAATTAAGCAAATTATTGGATTATATTGCTTCATTTTACTTATAATAACAGGATCAGGTTTATATTTTTCCAAAAATATATAATAAACCTAACAAAATTCTTATAGCATGAGGTTTTGAGTGCAGGCTCAGTAGTTGTTGGGGCTGACAAAAGAACTGTGATTATGAATAATTCATATTCAACAGAATTCAAATCTGACAAGTGAATTTGCAGACATGCAACATGTTAATGCAAATTCAAATATGTCAGTGCACATAAAAAGTAATAATTTAAAATGAATATGTAGTAATAGCCAATGGATGATGATAGCTTTATTTTCTTATAAGCAAACAAAACTCAGTTTTGAGATGTTGGACCCAAAGAAGTTCAACTTTCCAATCTTAGAAAGATCTTTAAGCCCCATCCAATTCACTGGAATTTAACTACTAAATGTAAAAATACACTATTACATAGTGAATATAAAGCAATTGATTTAGACTGCATAAAACAATGGCCCAAAAAGGAAATTCACTGACCTTAGGAATTGCATTTGCTAATGCAGTTGTCATGAGCCATTTCTCCTGTCAAAAAGTATTGATAAGTGAATTAAATTTGAACATCTGTCGCTGGCTTAATTTCTGAACTGCTTTCATGGATTTGCCTAAAGTCAGTTTCTCTTTCAGCTGCTGTTGATTTTAATACCCAGACAAATGGGAACAATAGATCCAAAAGTGAGGTAAGAATCCAAAATCCATGTGGTCTATTTTCCAGAATGGCCAAAAAGACAATCTTAAGAAAATCACAAGTAATACAATATATGAAATTCTTTGCTACATAACAGTTGGTGCATTAACTAGTCCTGAAACACAGAATTGCATAATCTATTCAATCATTAGTCTTGTGTCTTTGAATAACAATGATTAGGGGACTGGAGGCTAAAACATACGAACGGTTGCAGGAACTGGATATGTTTAATGAAAAGAAGGGCTAGGACAGGGATCTGCAACCTTGGCGGTTGTGACATTTTGAGTGACAGGGAGCCGCAGCAGAGCAGTGAAAGAGCCACATGTGGCTCCAAAGCCACAGGTTTCTGACCTCTGGACTAGGGGAAACATGATAGCAGTGTTCCAATATCTCAGGGGCTGCACAAAGAAGAGGGAGTCAAGCTATTCTCCAAAGCACCTGAGGGCAAAACAAGAAGCAATGGGTAGAAACTAATCAAGGAGAGAAGCAACTTAGAATTAAGGAGAACTTTCCTGACAGTTAGAACAATTAATCAGTGGAACAACTTGCCTCCAGAAGTTATGAATACTCCAACACTGGAAGTTTTTAAGAAGATGCTGGATAACCATTTGTCTGAAGTGGTGTAGGGTTTGCTGCCTAAGTAGTGGTTGGACTAGAAGACCTCCAAGGCCCCTTCCAACTCTGTTATTCTATTCTAACATGGAAGCTCAATGGCAGTTGCAATTATGACCTCACCCCTGCTTCTTTGTTAAGTGTGGCACTGCTTCCACCTGTCATAGCAGCAATCCCATAGCTAATAAAATCCTTGCTGAAGACCATGTGCAGGTTAGTTCCAGAATGTGGCATCACAAGGAATGGTGTGGTTGTGGGTGGTCTTCCTGGTAGAGAAATCTTGAATGTTGCCTGATGAGAATTACATGAAAATACAGAAGTATTCATTAACCTTTAAAGGCAGGATCAGTGGTGCTACCATCTCCCTATAATTTTAATTGAGTCTGTAGATGGTTCTGATAAAGTTGAGCCTTTCTTCCCCATCTTTTGGCTTTTAACACTGAAAAGCTAAGTCTACCTCCTTGTCTTTCATTCGTTTTGAGATCAATAAGCTTGTAGACAGTAGGGCATGATTTTAGACCTATATGTGGGCTTACATGTGTTGAAACTATTTGTTTTTAGATAAAACACATCTGAAGGATAGGAAGAAAGCCAAGCTCTCTCCTTCAGGTTTCTGTTGATCCATTTTTGATGGGAAACTATTTGTTTTGATCCCACTATTCAAAATGGGATTGGAGCAAAACTCTGAAACATGCACCTTAGAGGAGTTGGAGCACTTTTGAGAAGGTGGGTCTTTGAAAAACCGATAAAGGAGAAAGGGCCTTATTGAGAACAAAAAAGAATTAAGGATGCATGTAATGCATGTAAGAATCAATTGATAGTTTCAATGCAGGAATTGGAAGTATAAAATCTTGAGGACACCTATAGCAATCTCCAACCCTAGTTTATTAAGGTAGAATGTTTTGAATTTCTTTTTTCTGGTCTTTTTGCAGCCTGCACTTTAAACATAAATTCAGCCCTTTTGATATATATATATGCAGAAATGGAATCTAAAAGGTTATCAAAATTATCTTTAAACAGCAGACCTTCTTAATAATAAAGGCAGAAAAGAATCTTATTGAAATTCAAGACTTGAGGATTAACAGTAATTTCATAACACAGCCAGTTCTTATCAGATTCTGAACCAAAAGTCAAAAGTAATACCTGCCTGATATGGGACCAGGAAATGTTTTGCAGTTACCGTGGGGGAACCTGTTAGATCATACTGGATGGCCTCAAATGCCCCAACTGGAGCTGCAGCTGCAAAAACATTAAAAGAAATCGTTCACTTAAGTATGACTGCCTATAATAGTGCTTCTCAACCTTGACATCTCTAAGATGTATGGACTTCAGCTCCCAGAATTCCCCAGCCAATTAAAGTTCACACATCTTAGAGTTCCTAAGGCTAAAAACCATGATCTACAATCTTATCAATTCATGGGAAATGGCTACTTATGCATTTCCAAGTGCCAAATTCAATAATTGAGACAAATTTCTGCAAAAACTGCTCACATTAATTTTTATAGAGAGAAATATAGAGCTCTTTTACTAAGGGCTAATACACTGCATTCCACCCTGGAGTAGGACATTGCAGTCAGCTATATACCTATACCATCTGCTGATTAGAGGCTAACTGATTCAAACAAATTCACCAGCTCTGCTCCACTTTCTTATAACTCTATTTTAAAGTATGATTTACAGTAAACTGGACCAGCCCTTCAAATTCAGGATGTCTTGAAACAAATGACTGCCCTCTGTGAAGTGAGATAAGTATCCAATTTGCATGTAGGTAATGAAATATGGGCCATTTTTTTTTTCATGCAATAAGGCAATTAATTGCTATTTGTTATTGAAAACTATGCTGCTCCAAGATTTGTGTAGAAGCAATTCCTAGAAGCAGTGGATGTTCCAGAACAAATACTGTTTTGAGTTATCTTTAATAAAACTCTGTGAAACTGAACACCAGCTGTCCTCCTTGGAGAGTAGAGTATTTGGATAATCAGTTGATTTTCCTTCCCAGATATGTTTTTCAATTAGCCCCTCGGTGCTGTTCTCCAGAATGTTTTTCTTCCTCGGAAGCATGATAAAGACTGATGTTTAGTATATATCATCTGCAACTTACAATTGAGCATACTCGTAAATGAGACGTTAAGAAGATCAGCCACCAGTTGAGTGCACTGATGGATCTTAAAGAGAAAGACAGGATAAAAATAAAATAAATTTGAATTATATTCAAAATATACTTGAAAATCAAGGAAAGGTGTTTGTCATATGAAAACCTCTGTAACTATTCTGCACTTGTAAATCAAAAGCAAGGGGGAAAAACCCATCATGTATCTAAATGACACAGTATTGCAAGTCATTACTAATCTCCTCCCTTGTATTGCTTTTCAATTTTGGAGTGATTAAATCTCATTTAAGTACTCTACATATATCTATCAATTGAAACTTACTCTTTTAGTTTAATATAAATTGGCATTCTCTAGTAGGGTATCATCCAGATGTTTTGGGAATACTACTCTTGATACTGCTATCCAGCATGGTGGGGTAGAGCACCTCATGTCCACACCAGATGGGGAAAGCTAGTATAAACTGAAGGTAGTAAGATATGTTCTGCATTCAATATATATTGCCTAGCTTTCAACCTATACTGAGGTACTACTTATCACTTTCATTAAAGCAAAATTGTTAATATTTGTGTGTACTTTACGTGGCAGTACATTGGCCAACTTACCACATCAATCAAAATTGTCCCGAGCATAAACTGCATGTTCTTTTTAACTGGATCAGCTAGACTGAGTAAGATAAATTATTTTTGCCGTTATTTTGATTGTGTTATTATGCATGTAAGACCTTTAATGTTAAAATAAATGTTCAGTCTCTACTTTATATTGTAATCTTGGTCTTAAACCTACATTGACTAAATAGGATTAGGATGAGAACTAGAATTGTCCAGGCAAATGGTTCTCAACATTTTCTTCACCATGGACCCCATGGACCTTTTGCAGCCACAGACCATGACCACGGATCACCAAGATTTAATTCAAGAATTAAATCATAACGTAAAATCATAAGCCTTCACAGACCACTTGGGATGACATTGGACCCCCCCCCCAGGAGTCTGCAGACCACAGGCTGAAAACCACTGGTCTATGCATTGTCATCTCTTTTATCCCTTTGACTATGTCATAGGTTTAATCAAAGGTTCTCCTAACTGTAAACAATCTATCCTGATAGAAATAACTTGGACCTCAAAGCTAAAACTAATGAGATTGGCTGTAACTATAGAATCCTGCAAGTCTAATTATGCTGAATTTCCTCCTCTTTCATACTCTTGTGAATTAGGGAAGTGTCTGACCTGCTTAGTAATACTATCTGGCTGTCATAGATTTAACATATATTTTCCCTCTTGTCACTTTGGCAGTAGAGCAGTAGAGCTTACATATGTCCTCACTCCTTACAACTTTAGAAAAGAGCCATGATTAGGCCACTAATATAGCTCCATATTTCCATCATTAGCTTCATTAATTTTAAGCCCTGATGGCACAGTGGTTAGAATGTTAGTTCAGGCTAACTCTACCTCCAATCTGGAGTTTGATCCTGACTGGCTCAAGGTTGACTTAGCCTTCCATCCTTCCATGGGCAGTAAAATGAGGACCCAGATTGTTGGAGGAAAGATGCTGACACTGTAAACTGCTCAGAGAGTGGTGTAAAGCACTATAAGTCTCAGTGCTACTGCTATTGCTAATATCCTTATCTGGAAGCAGAATTTTTTGGACATATATCTTTGTCAAGTAGCCTATGAATAATAATAATTACTCACCTTTTCTGTGGTTTGATTTGAATTTCATTCATGGAAATTTTGGAAACTTCAGCGGTGAATATTTGTTCTTTGGAAGGATCCCATAGAAGCTTAGATATAACATCTACCTTGACTTTCACTGATGCTCCAAATAAACCATTCCCAGTGCTAAACCCCAAGAATAAAGGGAAAGGAAACAAATATCAGCTACAGGAATTGTGGATTTTGGCAGAAAATAAACTTGTCACTGAATGCACCTGTGTCATTCTAAAAGCCATCACAATCTCTTTCCTGATGTTAATAATATTATGGGGGTGGGTGGGTGTCATTTTAGTATAATTAGGTCTGCATCACAGCCAAATTTCCAGACCATGGAAAAGTCCGTGTATGTCTGATCCAAGTCAAACGTTTCAATCTATAATTCTATTGTTCCACATCTATATTTGTCATTTATATGCATATTTAAAGGTGTACTTTGTCTCAAAGTATTATATTAATCAAAATATATGTCTCAAAATACACGTTAACAAAAAGTACTGTATGTTTATGGCTATTTATTTCTGGATATTGTGTTACGACATTTGAAAAAAAAATGTAGGACAGTCAATAAATGGCAAAAAAAAAATGGGGATGAACTAAATTTTAGTTTTATGAGATTTGTGCACATTTGGACCACAATACTATGCTCATTTTCCAAAAATAAAGTCCCATTGATTTCAGTGGACCTTACTCCTAGTTCAGTATTCCCCAACCTTTCCAGGTTTGCAGCCTGGCATGTGGGGGCAGAGGGGATGATTTTGTGTGAGAGGCAGGTGCACATGCATGTCCATGTGCACATCTTCATTTGTGGGGCTGCGAGCACTGGCAGCCACCGCCCATGCGAGTGCGGCTGCATGCACATATGCGTGCGCTCATACCAGCCCACCATTCACATGGCTCAATTATGAATAGGCCATGGCCGAGTAGCAGCCCACGGCCCACAGGCTGGGGACCCCTGTCCTAGATAAAAGTTGAAGATTTATGACAATTGAACATTTAATCAAATTATAGTTTTATTGGAAATCAACATAGTTATCTTGGATTGATTGTCCCCCTGGAAACATGGACATCTCTTAATTGTTTAGGTGCATTTGCTCTTATTAGAAAACAGATATTTACTCTGTGGATAGAAATCAGTTGTTGGGAATTTGTTGCACTGAATTCATTGAGTCAATAGATTTAAGATACAGATGGAAGAGCTTAACCAAAGGAAAGCTTCATCTAGATCTGGCAAACTGGCTGGTGAATTCTGAGAGTTGAAGTCCACCTCTGTTAAATTGGCCAAGAATGAGAAACACTGATCTATAGAGATGAGACACAAAGTACTCCTACTAAGAGATTAAATTCTGCTGCTGACAGAACCATATTGTCCAAACAGACTATTCAAAATGGATGGGAAAATGTCCTTGATGGTAGCCTAGGGTAATCTGTGCCTTTCTTTTTGTCTATGCACAATCCTTGGCTAATTACCTTTTACCTTCTATGCCAATTTCAACTGGGAGAGAAAGATAGACCACATCATCAGGTGAAAATCTCATCAACGTTGGAAGAAATATAATTTTTTCAATAGCCAAACTGGGAGAAAAAGGTGAGAGAAAGTGAAAAGAGGGAGATATTCAGATTTTTTTCTAACAAAAATCTCCACTGGGTTTTCCTATTATAAAAAAAAAAAGTAAATTTAAGAATTGGTTAATTCTTTACAATCTGAAATGCAAACTATTGTTCATTGTTATATCAGTTGGTTTCATTTGTTATTAACATTCTTATGTTAATACAAAACTTACAAAATTTTGACCTTAATGATGGGATGAGGAATGTTGTAGTGTAGTAGAACTAAATAATACAAGTTGGGCACAGTTGTTCCAGAAATGCAACACTATTACAAAAAAAGTTGGAAAGGCCAGGATCATGAAAAAATGTAACATACTTAACTTTGTCAGTTGAAGACCTAGCTAATTTAGTAACATGTGTGGTAATAATCATGGACATTAGCATTAGTTAAAATCATGCTATGCTCTTCCAAGCTTTACCTGTGAGCAGTCTCATGATGGATATACTTACCGTGTCATACTTTGCATCAGTTTGAGCATATCATTGTTGTCAACCTTGTTTTCCAAGTGTCCAATTATATGTGGGTCTTCTCTGCTTTTTAAAAGCTTGTTTATGCCTTTGATTGTCTTAGGTAGAGACTTCATTAAGTCCAGTGGCAACAGTTGCTTGATTACCTCTGACAGTAAGTCTTGGATATCTAAAAATGGGTGATGTATTAAAAATAAGGAAATCAGACAACATGCCCAAGATCGGTTCTTTCAAAGACTCAGTGCTATGATTCATCAAAGTTAATAAGCTGACACACTTCCAAAGAAACAGCTGAATGTGATTTGAGGCATCTGTTACTTTTCTTAAACAAAGTCTCTTTCTAAATAGGGTGTGTGTGGATAAAGCAGAAGATGAGCAGCTTGTGTACTTAATGTTTTCCCCAGCACCATTATTGTCAAAAAGCTGTCGGAATAGAGGAGAAATACCTGCTCAGTCTTTTGGAAAAAGAACCTAGATCCAAAATCTAGGATAGTGGAGATAATTAATATGTAAAAAAAGGGTATTCTCTTCTGCATTTTTTATTAAAACGATAACACATGGGAAGAAAGAATTATACTAATATGAATTGAGAAGAAGCACTTTCTTTCCATAGCAGAGGTGAAGTAGTACCTACCAGTCTTTGTGTTGGCAGAAAATTACATATGTATTCTTTCTGTTGGCAATCTCTGGCCCACTAAAGTCACAATGTCAGTAAAAGGTCTTTTCCTTTTTATAGCGAACAGGGCATGTAAACAAACATGGGGGTGGTGTCTCCTGGCTTTATCTCTCCTATTCTACAAAAGACCATTAGCCAACAGGAAAACAACATCCATCAATAATGCGTCTTCAATGTGGAATGGAAGTAGAGTTGGGAAAGAAGTGAGTTTTGACAGATGTCTAGAATGGCAGCTATACCCTGCTGACAAAAGTTGCTGATTTGACACTAGTTTTTCCTGGAACAATTCTAAATTAATGACCATAAGAAACTGAGTGTTCACCTGATATCACTTGATTATTGGATCCCCTTTGACCATACCCATGCAAAACATTTGTGCCAGATTTGTCCACTTTCTCTGTCAGCAATCCTTTAGGATATGGGTTTGGTGCTAGTCCAGCAGACTCCTAACTCTGAAGTCCAAGCAACCCAAACAACAGTTGGTATGTGCAGCAGAATTGCAAAAGAACAGCTATGAGAACTGGAAGGCTTGAAAGAATCACTATCTCCATTCTGCCCAAACCTAATCGGTTCTGAAAGACAGTGCTCTGAAGCAGGAAAATCTTACAGAATACAGGGAATTAGAGTTGATGACATCCCCCCCCCCCCCCCCCCCCCGGATATTTATGTAGCAGAAGAAGAAGAAAACTCAAAGAAAATACTATTTCTATTAGGTGAGCATTAGGGTGAAGAAATTTATTTTATTCACATCCTGATTTGGTCCAGTTGTCCTGCATGGGAGATGAACAAATGGGACCTTGCTCCAAATGATTCTTAAAATAAGATTTTTGAAATGTCTTAAAATAAAACAAGCAACTAAAACAAACACATAGGCTATTATGATTAAATATTACTTCCAGTTTGGGAACCAGAATGTGTTGCCATATTAGTTATTATCGTGACCAGCGTATAAAGAGAATGCTGTGTTATCTGGACTTATATTTCATCTAGTGCAGCTAGTCCTAAAGAGTTAAACCTGTGAAGTTATAGTTATATAATCAGCTGGATTAGCAGTAATCACAGAGAACTGCTTATCCCAGTCATTTATTGAATTTGGCACTGAAAAATGTAATGATGGTAGACATTGATTTAGGTGAACTGAAATAGGATTAAATAAAATCTATCAATGGTTATTAACTGCAACTTTCATCTATAAAATAAAAGTTTATCTGGAACACTAGAAGAAAACAACTACAAACAAAAGTATTTCACTCACATGCCTTTTTTATGGCCATATAATGCTGTCAGAAAGCAGGACTAAGTGAACATTAGTTTGTTCCATTGAGACAATTTGTGTGAGCTTTATACATGCTGACTACAAAGACTACATTTAGGATTTTTTTTTAAAAAAAGAAGCTTTTGTTATAAAGAAATGTCTGGGGAGAAAATGATTTCCTAGAATGGTTTTCTTCTTTCTTCCATTTCCTACCCCTCTAAGAGTCTTTCTGATAGAACTGTTCCAAGTAATTACTCTGTACTGTGTGAAGTATTGTACTATGTGTTGTGCTATTTACTTACAGGCATTTAATGTGGTATCACCGATGCCAATAGTGACAGAGGCACAAAATGCTCTACTTGAAGATGAACCACCTTGACTCTTGGCAGCTCTGATGGACCTCTCCCCTTGACCATCGAATACATGGGCTGTATTTCCAAGCAGACTGACTTCCTGTTCTACCTTGCTGATTGAATCCATTCTGCTGCCTCGGCTTTTGCAGAGAAAGGAGATCAAAACCAGGTACCAGAGTCCTGGCATCCTTGGCTCTGAAGAAGGAAGGACCTTTACAAAGAGAGAATCAAAATGAAGAGAGAATCAATGAAGAATGATCTAATCCAAAAATAGTTCCAATACCTTGAAAACTCAAGAAAAAAAACAACAACACAGCATCAACACATTGAATTGTCATTTTTCAAATGCTTCAATGAATGAATATGAAACCATTCCCTTCTTTACCAATTCACTGTGAAATTACAACATTTTTACCCATCTTTTATCAATGTGGCACTAGAGACAGCAAGAAACTTCTGGAACAATGCCTAGAAAAAGAAAGGGGACATAAAATAATGAGTGTTGCTTTGTGCTATGTTGTGTTCACTTTTTGGAAGATATTATCCTGGCATGCTGTTCACAGGTCAAATGCCACTTTCAGGTTCTTTCCCCAAGAGGTATTCTGCACCTAAATGCCCCTCTGTGCGTTACCTCAGATCCTCCAACCTTTCAGCCTAATATAGATTGCCCAGTTTATGTTAATTCCTGTAACCATATGCTTCTCTGATACTAAAAGTGAATTGCAAGTCTGGGGGCAACTCAATCCTTCATGAAATATTTATTTTTTTAATTTATAGCCATACTAACATTACTATTTAGCTCCTTTCCTCTTCATTTCTTTTTTCTTCTTTTTCTACCACTTTTTAACTTTCTTTTTCTTTTAAATGTCTTTATTCTGTAAAGATTTTTTTAAATAAAAAAGTATCTTTTTTTAAAAAAAGAGAGATTTGCCAGGAATTGACAGCTGCCTGAATCAGCTACGCCACAGCTTCTTTTTACCTTATCATTTATTATCATTTTACCATCTTTATTAGCCTCCTCATCTGAAGGAACTTGCATCTGTGAACTGAGAAGATTTGCATTTCTACTCTTGTGTGAATCAAAAAAATTTCTTGCCTGTCTCTTTTGATCAGTAAAACGTATCCTGGATATTAAGATAATTTTTGAACAATGTAAGTGCAATGCTCATTGATAAGTGAGATGAAATCTGTATCTCCATAGTTGTCCAGTATTCTTGGAAGGCAAATGTTCATACAAAACTAGCTATCAGATTTTATTATCTTTTGCTTGGTTCCTGCACCATCCAAGAGATTCATTTGGTTTTGGCTTAGTGTGATGCCTAAACCAAATTTCCATTATAGTGTTAGCTGAGTTTACCTAATACAAATCAAATTTTGTAACTAACACCATAATGAAAATAAAGATGAACATCTAGGAAAGTTATAAGGAAGTTTCAAAATTCAAGAAGCTAAGAAAGTATATACTAAATTCTATCTTTTTTTTTTTTAAAAAAAGGTCCTACTGACCTCCATTCTTCATGGTCGCCCATCTAGGTGGCAGTATCTAACTGACTTTGATTCGTTTTGAAAGCTAAGTTTATTAATATTTGAATGGGAGATTTCCAGAGAATATTGGAGTTGAAAGCTAGACTGAGAAATTAAAAAAAGTACTGGAAGTAGACAGCAGTAAACCATTTTCATATTGTTGTCAAGACAACTATATGGAGATATCGATGAAGTCACCAGAAGCCAAGCTTGACTAGAAGAAGAAAAAAAAAAGTACCTTTATTTGAAATGGCTTGCTCTGCTTTGTAGAGGAGTTTCCTTGTACCAATTCACTTGAAGATTCTCCCAAAAGTCCTCCTCACTTGTCTTTCACAATCCATCATTGTCCTTATCCTTTATTATGTAGATTAATTTTCTTTTTCTTTTTTTATTGAAAAAGTTTTCAAATACAAATTTTTCCCCCTTTTTCCCCCTCTCCCTCCCCCTCCCTAACCCCCCCTCCCCACCCATCCCCCCTGTGACTTCTTCATAACAAAAAAAAACCTAATTCATAACAGATTACTTACTCCCTCCTCTAGATATTGACCTTTACTTACTAAAAATATTATTAATATTATAACATCCCCCTTTATCCATACATATCAAAAAAGAGAAAAGAAAGGAAAAAAAAAGACATTATACTATACTATACTATGTCCTACTTTAACATTTAATCTTCTATATATATTACTATAACATTTCAAAGCGGCCTTCCCCATAAAATCTAGTTTAACATTTATTCCACTCTATCCATTTCCTCCACTCCCCCAAGTATAACACTTAAAAATCCCTTTTCTTAGACTAGTCAATCTACTAACTAGCTTATTCACCCACTATCATGCAAAATTGCCATACACAACATTTCTTAACATCTTTGATTCACTGCCCACACTACTTAAAAATATATGTCTATATTTTCCATTATATCTAAATAAAAAAAAAGAAAAGACAATGACTTTAAATTTATAATCCATATAGTATCTTCTTTGAGGTCTTTCCACTGGATTGGTAGAACCAACATCCATAATCGGGTAACATAGCTCACTGGTGCAACAGTTTATTCAGGATCTTCAATCATATCTGCCCCCATCAGTAGTAAATATCTTCTTATATGTATAAAAGTAAAAACAACCACCCGAGTGACATTATAATTATATTCCATATAGTAATAATTGTGGGTTTCATCAGGATTATTAATTCCCATCATCGTAGTGGGTAACAACCCGATCTTCTGCATGCCCCAGCATAATTCTCTTGCCTTGTGATTCAAGATAATATAATATGTTTATCAACACAAAAAGAAATTCCAAAATGGATAATTCAAATCCATCAGTTTAAGGCTCGTTTCACGTCCCCAGATTACGGCCATGCAGAGATCTGCCACAAACCTCAGGATGATATTAACCAATACGTCGCCTCTTCTGTATTTACACATAATCGATCATATTTTAAAATCACTGGCTTCACTGTTGCCTGATTTAGAAATTTCTATTTCTATGCCACCTATTTCTTTTTTTTCTTTTCTTTTTGTGGGTTTGGTTTCCATCCTGGTTCCCTTTCTACAAAATATGTATCACCTGGTCGGTTTTTATTCTGCTTTGTAGATTGGTCTTGTTGGTTTTGCTTTTGTATCTCATATTTCTTTTTTATCCCTTGTATATCCCCTAATTGGTTTCCATGTTTATCCTTGCCTTGATAAGTCATCACATTAAGATTAGATGCCTCTTCTCTCAAATTTGTAGATAGTCCAGCTGGGGTATCCAATAAATCCAAAGGCAATTCATCTGGTACAGTCTCTGTAATTCGAAATTTTACCTTTATTTCCGGCTCCTTCTGCTTATCCTGTATTATACCTGGAGATGTTAAATTCATTTTCAACCTATTTTGATAAAATTCTTCCGCTCTTTCAACAGTATTTAGCTGATATCTTTCTCCTTGGTATCTAAATATAATACCAACTGGGGCGTCCCACCTGTAGGAGATATTTCTCTTTTTTAACTCATTCACCAGAAAACCAAATTTCTTCCTTTCCATCAATATCTTAGGTGGGAGTTCCTTATAAATCCAAATCTTTCTTCCATACAATTGCAAATTAGAATTAAAGGAATTTTGAACGATATTATTCCTAATTTCCTTATCTGTAAAATAAATCACCACATCTCTAGGCAATTGCCTTTGCTTAGCAATCCAGGAGTTGATTCGATAAGCTCTGTCGATCCTACAAAACACTTCGTCAGGTTGAACCTTTAGAATCCCAGCTAGAAATTCAGAAGATATTTTCCTTAAATCCTCTCTATTATTTTCCTGCAAACCTCTTAATCTTATTGCATATTCTGTGAAATTATATTGTACCATTAAAATCTCTTTTTCAATCTTCTGTTGCAGATTTTCTACATTACCATACTTTTGATCAGCATCCATTTTAGATTTTTCTTCTAAGCTATTATCCTGAGTGTTTGTCAAATCATTTTCAATTTTTTGAATTCTATTGTCCAATTTATCTTGCATTTCTTCCATTTTAGACTCTAGTACATTAGTATTTGTGTCCAACTGCATCATAAATCCTGTAAAACCATTAACCACTTTTGAGAGTTTTTTCTCCAAAAAATCAAACTTAGATTTCACCAATTCTTTAATTTCCTGCTTAAATTTTTCAAATTGCTGATTCACAATCTCCTCCCTTCTTTCAATCTCCTCTATAAAAAATTCTATTATATTAAAATCAGGTTTCTGAGACTGAAGAATTAAGACTTGTTCCTTTAAGTTGTTGGTGGGGGGATCCCCCCCCTTCTTGTTTATCTGACTTTATGAGTCTCAGTGCCATGTTTCCGCCCAGGCAGGCTTTGTTAAAAAAAAGCAAGAAAAAAGGACTTCTTTCCAATCAACAACAATATCAGGTCTCCAAGGGGAAGAAAAAAAAAAAAAGAGAAAGACACAGGAGCGAAGTTTTGTCTACAAATGTAGCCAGTGGTATTTATTCCGCTACATTGTAGTAATAGAAAACGGAAGCCTCTCCTCCAGCCAACGCCATTTTAAAAGGCTTTTTTTTCCCCTCCTTCCTCTCCTCCTCTCTCTTAAGTAATTTCTTTTTTAAAAAATCAGTAAAATACTTGCGGTTCAATATTACAGGTCCAGCTCACATTTTCTTTGAGTAGTCTGTTAAATTTGCAGGCTTGCTTTTGACGCCTGGCTCTGCATCAGCAGAGGTCTCCCAAAGCCCGGAGCTAGATTAATTTTCTTATCAGAACCCTCCTGCCTTCTTTTCTCTTAGAGTTTGATGATGCTGTTCTTGCACAAAGTCACAACATACCCAATTTCATATAATTCTGGAATACAGATTCAGCCCTTGGTTATTCCTTCTATGCACACTTTTCATAGATGAGTTAAAATGTAGTTCGGTGGTTCGAATCCCTAGTACAAGGTCTCTTGTGTGAGCAGGGGCTTGGATTAGATGACCTCCAAGGTCCCTTCCAACTCTGTTACTGTTACTGTAGTGAAGTAACAGTATGGCAAATTAAATATTATGAAT